TTTGCAAAACCGCAGGCAAAAATCTGGAATAAAAGCGGGACGTCCAGTCCTGTATCCCCGAGGAAGTTTAAATCGCATTCCGATGAGGATGAACTCACGAGATCGGTAGAATCCTCGCCTCATGCATCCTCGGGCGAAGTTTTGGGGACTGGGAATAAGAATGGTGATCTGTGCACGGTGCTCGAATCTATTTTCCTGCCCGCGAATGAAAGGGACAACAAGGCTCTGAGCTTCGACGAGTCGAGTAGAGTCCCCAACGAGGAAAGAACTGATGAATTGGAAAATACACTTCAGGTGAGCACATTTGCAGAGGGTAGCTGAGAGTAAACCCTTCCTTGTTCGAAATTCAAAATTAATATATATTTGTTATTGATAATTAATCATTCGTTTAATTATCTCGAGCTACTGTTCAAAACAAAGTTTTAAATGTCCAAGGTGACCTAATCACTAACCTAACTCAAACCTAATGTTAGATGTGTATCATCTAGTGAACATCTAGTCTCCTGTTTTAGAATTTTATTGTTATAATTTTGTACCGAGATTATTGACTTTACTAATGAACTTGTGTAAGTATATATTTTGAAAATATAAAATAGAAATAAAAATTTGTTATTAAATTAATTAACCATTAATAAATAAATAATTATAATTTTTTATTTGTAAGCCAACCTACGCGTTCGAACTTTGGGGAAGCGTATTTTATTCCAATTTTGATATCCCTATGTGCGAACTACCGTGTTAATTACTATTGCTGTATGCATGAATAATTTTACAGTGGAAGGCTACTTTATTGGTCTTGAACAGATGGAATTTTGATGATAAAGTTTTAATGTTTTATTGTTTTCTGTGAAGCAGCCAAGCGAAGAACAGGTGGATGTTTACATAGTGAAACAAGCCCTCGACGGACCCGTGATGATAACACATGTGGAAGGTATGACACCACTAGTCGTAACAAGTGACGTAATTTCAGAGAGTGCTTACGAAGAGATGGTCGATATATTCGAAAGAAATCGAATGTAGACCAGTTCATCAGCAACGTAACCATTGTACTTAGATTATCTGTTGCTTCATATGCTTGGTACATGCCTGCGATTTATCATTGTAATTTATTCCAAAACATATTATAATTAAAGGGATCAAAATCTGATATTGAAATCAACGAAACGATGTCTACTACTAGATTTCATTAATTAATTATTCCATACGATTGATAGAATGTAACAAACAGAAGCGTACACATTTCGTAAGTCATTGAACAATTTCCATCAATTAGTTAATTGAAGCATTATGCAATTGAAGTATTATACAAACGTATCGGTGAAATCAATTGTGAAGTTTTGTAAAAAAATTGAATTGTAAATATATAACACGATGTTATTAATAAAAATCATCCTCTTTTTATGAAATTGCACTCTTCGGATATACCCCAAATTCTGATATACACACACAAGGTCGCCGGTGCACGTATACAAACGCATACACCTCCTGTATTAACAATTTTTGTGTCATCAAAGTTAATTAATTTCTATATAAATACCAGAATTTTTGACACAAGTGAAAAGCAATTATTTTACGAATCCAATTAAGCTGCCGCAATTTCAACGAAACACTCGATTCGTTGCAACGTTTATCCAGCCGCCATGATTAAAAATCGTTTCGGCTAATCGAGCGCATGATCCGTGATATTCCCTTTCTCTCTTTCCTCTCATTCGCACAGAAATTATTGTCGTTTGCGCGACTGGCCGGAGTAAATAAGCCAGAAAGAGGAGAAATAGACGATGAAACGATTACTAGGCAGGAAATGAGTAAATGCAAGGCAGCAGCGGCCAGTTGTTGCGTATATCGAAGATGTGTTCGGCGCGAATCAATTTCGGGTCAGTAGTTTCGTGATCATCCGCTGCGCGCGCTGTCCGTTACAATGGTTACGACCGGATAAACGGGCAAAATTACTGTCCAACATATTTGCATATCATCGTAGCACCATCGGGAATTTATAGTCGCGTTGGTTCAACGAAGGAGAGTATAAATACTTTTTGTCGGAGAACATATCGATTTACAGACCATTTCACGTCTACAACCGTCAGTTAATGCGATTCGGATATAGGTTAGGATTCGCGTATTCGCGCAACAGAAAGCAGGAACTTAGCATATTATGCGATCACCTGCTGCATTTTAAATACGTGTTCTATTAAACAATCAAGCGTGGAATGATCGATTGAATTTCGTTAGGATTGTTTTCGCTCGAAATTGCTTTCTTGATATAAATTCAGTCGATACGGTACAGATTTTTCCGCTTCGTAAAAATACTTTCCGTGCTTTAAGGAGATTAACCGAGCACATAAATCTTACTTTACTACATGCGCGTGGATTTTATATTTTATAGAATATTTTGAAAAGTTTAATACCCTTTGTAAACAGAAAATCGGATCAGTGGCCTCATTTTTCTGGGCAAATTCAGCAACGGAATATTTAACAATCACCCGTGATAAAATTGTCGCTCGTGCATATTCTACTCGTATTTAACGCATTGCGCCTGGCTCAGTGCAAAAAATAATAAACCGTGTTTCTTTATGCAATACTAAAATATATCAGGGGAAAAAATGTATCACATAGCTATTATTTTGGTGAAATAATTGAGTAATAAAAGCAAGATTTTTAAATCCCAAATTCCGATTTTATCATTCCCAGTCGGATCATGTATACTGTCTATGCAATAACAACAAGGCAAATATTTTATATTAATTTTTATCACCTAACAAAGGCATGTGCAACTATCCTTCCACTGTTATGGCACAATTGAATAATAAAACAGGGATTTTCGAACCACTAAATCCCAATTCTATCATTTACGGTTAGCCCACACGTGCTGTGAACACTACCACAAGCAAAACATTTCACGTAAATTTCATAAATTTCTCTCAGCTTTACAACAAATGATTCGGATATCTATCATTGTTATAGAACAATCGAATAATAAGTGGAGGATTTTCGAATTTTATCATGTACAATTGGACCCCAGGTGCTGTGGACACTACTACAACAAGAAATAATTTTACATAAATTTCTATCACCTATCAGCAAAACATGTCACACATTTACCATTGTAATAGGACAATGGAATAATGGGAGGAGGATCTTCCAAGTCCCAAATCCAAATTCAATCATATCCATTCAGGCGATTGACGTAATCGACGCTGCCTTAACGAGAAAAATATTTTATATAAATTTCCATCACTTTGTACCTCACACATAGGTAACTGCGAACGTGCCGGAGAACGAAACAAAAAGCTTAAAACCCGTCAGCCGTTTCATGGGAATCCATTTGTCGATCAACCATCCCCTTCCCTCCTAATGTCCTAGCAGCCGGTATTCGTACCGCGGAGCCATCTCCCGCTGCCTTGACACGAAAGTGTGTCAAAGATGTGCGCTGAATGCAGACAATACAGCATCGAGAACAATGCCGAGAGGCGTTATTACAGAAACGTCCCTCAAATCGGATGTTAGGCACAAAGATTATCGCGGCTGCGACGAAAGAGAACGAGGCCTGGTTCCCTCAAGAAGACATCCGTCCGCGGCTCCATCAGCTCTTACACTCACTGAGCAGCCATGCAGCACCTTGATCTGTAACTGCCACTCTCTTGGCGAACGCCAGGGACTGCTGCACAATGGGAATCCGGCAGGAGAGTAAGACGAAGTTAAAACCACAGATATGGCCTGTTTCGAGAAAGTGGCCGTGCAGGCTGCAGCCCCAAGTGGTCATTACGCTGAATGCTCAACCGCCTTGCTGATGAATGACCCGGAAAACGGAGAGATGGCCAGGTTTGGCTCTGGCCAGGCCAAGCTTGGCCAGGGTTTGGGTTGGACATGTGACCCGGACAAACGGTTGTGCCATCGCGAAACTTTCTTTATGGCTTTTGGGCTAAGTACAACTTCATCATAGGCCGGGTCGCCTGTGGAGTCCAGGCGAAACTTTGCGGTTCGTTGCTCGGTGCATTCGTGGCCGAACCGTTTAGCGGTGGAATGACTTCTTGCGGACGATAACTGGCTGGTCATTTAACTTTGCTTGTTGTTACGTGAGCGAGCGTGTTCGACATTGAAGCTGTTATACCCCGGGTCCGCTCAATTAGCTAACTTTCTTTTCGCGTCCATCCACCGGTCGTGCACACACCAACATTCGTGAACACCGAGTCAGACGGAGAAAGTTATTAATTTCGCACTATTAATCGCTGGCACGGACTAGAGCGACGTAATTTCGTTACGCCGCCCTCTGAGGGGTGTTAGACGAACAACTGAGAGCCGGAGGAGGTTGTTCCGCGGCAAACAGACGGGGAAAAATTGGATTCGCCTGATAGGAGCTTGAAGTTTATGCGCAGAGGAAATTTTAACGAGTTCTTCCGGAGATGGAGCTGCGGTCAGAGATTTTTATTGGCAGGTGTAATAAATACATAATAAGAGATACGATGAGTAACGGGGTATGTGGCCTTAAAGTTTGTTACCATACTCCTGATCGTATATTTCATAGAGGTGATAAAGATCTCTGTTCTCCGATACAGCGATTCATACCGTGCATATAGTTCGAGTGCTGGTTTGTTCTTTGGTATCGTTTGGTATTGCAATTGACATATTGTTAGCGGCGTGTGTGCGTGTGGTGATGCTCGGCCCTTGAATATCCAGTGACACACTTTGCCATGACACTACGATCGTCACCGTGGATCGCGAAAATTTCGAAGGATCGAGAATGTTTCGGGTCAACGCAGAGCAATAGAAGAGTACAACACGTGAAAGGCCTTGGAGAACAGCGGAATGCACAATTCGTTGTCGATTCGCACAATGACGTTGCTCCATTAACTTCATCTCCCATTGACAATACACAAAGTGATTGGAAATATCGCCAAAGAGAAAATATTTTGGATTTGAAGTAATTTATATATATTTTGAATATCTTCCACGCTTTCTCAGAAATTCTTAGGTCTAGGCTAGGTCTGGGTCGCAAGACTTACCTCGAAGTCCATGAAGGCTTTGTAGGTTAGGATCAAGCAGCCGCCGAAGAACAGACAGGTGGCGAGATTTCTGGTGTCGGCCAATGAGGCGACCAGAGGAACGGATCCCATCTGCCAGTCGTGAGACAGCGTTGCCGGGCATAGTAACAGCCAGCAATTCAGTGCCGCGAGATAGCAAAATGTCAATAACCTGAAATCAAAAAGCGCCAATCATTCTCGTTAACGACGTCGATACGTCTGATCGAAGTACAGTGTGTATAGGGGTGAAGGGGAGAGAAGTAAAACTGCAACGTTGATATTTCGCGCGAAAGATTTGCATGCCGCGATTTTCGCGAAGTAATCGCATTTCGCCGCGACGCTTGTGGCGCCACCATGCTTCTGGCACGTACGGCTTATTACTATCCGAAAACGTCAATCACGTGTCGCTGGAGTGCATGGTCGGACGTGTCAAATTCAGGACCCTGGAGAGCGTTAAATAGCACATCTTGCTTGGCCTTTTTTCTCTCATCAATGCGATTACGAGGTTAATGCATATATCCTTCCACTGGCATATTTCGTTCCAGTCTTTACAACGAATGAAATTCCAACTTTTAAGCGGTTGCTATAAACCGTATTACATTTCGTACGGACCAAATGGTATTCGCGTGTTTGATTAATATTGCAACTCACAAAGAGGCCAAAATGAGTTATTTCAGACTTTTTATTTTTGCAGTTGCCTTTATGGCTGTTGAAATTCATCTTTACTTGTAGGAAATCGTGATTACTTTTCCACTTTTATTATTTCCTTTCTGATCATTTATGACATACAGGTCTATTTGTATAAAGTCAAAAAACATTACCGCATCATAATTATAAACTACGTGAATCCTTCCTTTCTGACAGATATTAATTATATTAAAGTCTGAAACTGGACCTATTAGGAGCACTAATCAAGCCATTTTCGCACGTCATGTTCATTTAATTCATCTAAATTATCATCAGATTCACT